CTAGAGTATAAATAATTCGGACATATTTGATAATCAATGTATAATTTATTTATTAATCAGTTGCTAAAAACATTCATATTCAATGATCATTTATTACTGATAATGCTGTACAGAAAGGTCACATTTAGAAACATGAATTCTCTATATTTCAGTTTATTTTTTTAAAAGCCTCATTTCGGCAAATATGAAATAAAATAAATCTTACCAAATATACCTGCTTTTGCATTTAATAAATATGAATTTGGTAAAAATACAGGGGAAGCAATTGACCACCTATTTATCCTGTGTTAGTCTTATAGAAAACTCTGGTCTCATTTATGTGGTTATTTCTCAAAATTGAAGAGTCCAAATTATGAATTAGCACATAAAGCATACATTGACAGTCTAAAAATACATATTTCAGACTCGGATAATGTGGTTCTTTTAATAGGAAAACAGGTATAATTGGGACAAACTGTAAGGAGACAAATCTTCTTTGAACTGTTTTTTGAATAATAAAAAAAAAATCCTTCTTTATCAAAACACTGATACAATAAATAACTTTCAGGAAAATCAACAGTGTCAAATATTTGTTTTAAAATGTGTTGGTCTTTTAACCTAGACATATGTTGTAGTTGTTGGGATCCAGAGGCTTGCCCACCAGAGGGCGCCGAGGATCGCTTCCTTATTGTTTTTTCTTCTGTTGGGATCTGGGGTGCTGTCTACCTTCCTCCACCAGAGGGCGTACTGGATCTCCTGAAGCTGGAGCTGACTTCACCAGCTGCTTCTCATCTACTCATCAGGGGACCAGTACTTAAGTGGGCTGTGGACAACACTCCGGTGCCAGAGTGTTTTGCCAGTTATGGTTAGCAAGTCTGAGCCAACCTGCCTGCCTGAATCAAGACTCCCTGATTACCTGAACCTAACCTGTTCTTGTCCTCTCTGCTTCTAGGAAGAACCTGTCTGAAATCAGAAACTCAGGACGATTTTCTCTGTCCGAAACCTGTCTGTCTGACTACTGAAGAGTCCTGGAGATCAGAAACCCAGGAAGGGTTTCTCTGTCTGAAACCAGTCTGTCTGATCACTGAAGAACCCTGGAGAATCAAACCTGTTAGCCCCTTAAGCCTGCCGCCAGCCTCTGGACCCTCCAGGTTTCCCCCTCTGTTGCTCTGCTCAAACCTCTGAACAGGTACAAACCTGCGTTCACTCAACCAGCAAGATTACCAGGACTTCTGCTAACCATTCTGTCCCCCTCTGCAGTGAAAATCTATCGTGACCAGTCCTGGACCAGATTTTCCCAGAACCTGTTCAGTGTTCAAACCTGTGTGTTTCACAATAAACCATTGAACTTTTTCCCCTGTCTCAGAGTGTGTTCTGCATGTGGGCTAGTAACCTAATACCCATCATGACAGTAGTATATTCTGATTAGTTGTTGTAATGTTTTAAACACTTTTGTTCTTATTGTACCTGTAGTTAAAAAAACAAACTTGGGGGGGGGGAATATATATATATATATATATATATATATATATATAAATAGTAATTCTAGAAATCTTGTTTTACTTTAACCTGAGGGTGGCAGCAGTGGTACTCTCAAGTAATAAGTAATTAGTTTAGTCACAACAATATATCAACATTAAAGATTAAAGTCCCCAATTTCGTCTTTTTAGAACCAGTTTTGGCATAAAAATGCTGCAGAAGGAAACGTTCTGAAAGTTCATCTAGGAGTCTTCTATGAAATTAGAGATAAAGAACTCAACCCATTTAATGTTTTTATGCAGAATGTTAAATGATTGACACAGCACACATGAATTAATATGTATGTAGATTTATTAACAAGGAGCTTCATGAAGATCTAATCTGTTTTCGGTTATTTCTTTGGAAAATACAGATGTGCTCGTTAGATTTCCTGTTGATCTATACTGAACTGCCTCTGGAGCCGATCAGGTTTTGATCCTCCAGGATAAAAGTAAAGGTTTGCTCTTTTTACTATTTTATGTTTATGTTTGAATGCAAAAACGATGATGTTGGGATTGATGATGATTTCTGGAAGGCAATTAAAGACAAAGCTTTAAAAAAGGAGAAGTGGCCCCTTCCTCTCGTGTTTCCAGGGTTTTTATCACAGTTTGTTTGGTAGCTCCATGTCTTGGACGTTGGACGACCAGGTTCGTCTTGACAACAGTTAATCTTCTTATACGTTTAGAAAGCGTGGCAGCCATATTGGATTCTGAGATCAGGCTTGGCGACTAACAAATTGATTATTTTAGTCAAAATTCCGACTTTGTGTTCAAGTTACTTTTCTTTTAAACTTGGAAAGTTTGTTCTGTATTTAAGTAAATTTAAAATATGTAGTCAAAGTGGTTCTTGGTCTCTGTTTAGCATGTTAGAACGCTAATATGCATCAGTTATTTGGTTTGGAGGTTTGACTTAATTCATATTTTCAGTTTATTTTTGTCAATTTGGTAATTCTGTAACCTGAGAGTCACTGGATGCACTGAAATAAAAAACAAAACAAAAAAAAACAAAAAGAAAAGACTAATTCTCACTTGTTTGAACACATTTAATAAGTTTGGCAGCTAGTATTAGCAGCTAACCACAGCAGGCTAACAATTGCTTGAAAAACATAAATGCTCTACAGAGGTCGGTCAATTCAAGTGAAATAAACTGATCCAAGTTCATTATAGGCAATGCATTTATTTATTTTAACTAAATTTAGAGATACTGGAGATATAGGAGAACACACCAGCATCAAGCTTACCAAATATGAGTGAAATGACGGACTTAATTGTTCTACATGTAAATAAACATGTTAGATACAATTAAATTTAGGAGATAGTAGCTAAAATCTCTTAATTTTTATGCAAATTTAGGTCAACTGGCAAAAAATTAAATTTCATTGTTTGATAGAAATACTCGTATGAAAATAAATATTTACTGCAAAGTAGCCACATTGTGATTAGTTTTTTTTTTTAAATAAGGGAATGAGTTTTAAAATGATCTTCGATTGCAAACGTCTACAAGGACTCAAGCAAAGAGCAACGTGATGGAAATGATTAATGTGAAAACTGATCAAGGCCATAAAAACGGGAGCCATTAAACCAAGATATCTTAACTCTCCCATTTTGATTATTTCAATATAACTTTTGCACTGGATGCACTGAAACGCAAAAAAAGGACTAATTCTCACTTGTTTAAACACATTTAATAAGTTCTGCAGCTGGTATTAGCATGATAGCGGGCTAACAATTGCTTGAAAGATCAATGGTGGGTCAATTCAAGTGAAATAAACTGATCAAGATTCATTATACTCAATGCATTTTTTTATTTTAACCAAATTTAAAGACACAGATACAGGAGAACGGCAGCATCAAGCTTACAAAAGATAAATAAAAGGATCGACTAAAATCGCTCCTACATGTAAAAAAACATATTTATTCGAATCTATGACGACATGTGAGAAAAATAAGGTAGGGTCATTTTTTAAATGCAAAATTTGAGTCAACTGCCAATAGAGTAATTAAGTAAATTCATAATTAAATTTTATTGTTTGATAGAAATGCTTGCAGTTTGAAAAAAATTATTCGCTGCACAGTAGCTATATTTATCAATATATTTTTACAAATGCCACATTGTGATTAGCTTTTTTTGTTAATAAGGGAATGAGTTTTAATGATCTTCGATCGTCAAACTTAGACTTAGACTTAGACTTGACTTTATTAATCCCTTGGGATTACTCCCTTCGGGAAATTGTATTTCCAGTAGCAGGAAAAATTGCACATATAAGAAAAAAAGGGGATGTTTAGACACAGTATATACAATAGAAAAATAGAATAAAAAAAATCAATTAAATAAGGTGTA